TGGTTAAAAAGTTTACATATGGAAATAGTTTTATAAAGTATTTTGTTCTAATTTTGTCAAATCTAAATTTTAGCTTCAGTGTAGCTATATATCTGTGTACATATTGTCATTCTTGATAAGTAACCGTGCTCCTGTAATTCCTTTCAATGTTTTCGTCTGTATATCTTGCTAGATTTCTACGTTTGATTAACTGGCATTTCCAAATAGTTGAAGAACTTATATATATTAAAGAACTTACACTTATATATAAATTGTTTTAATGACACTATTGTAGAAGAGCACTTTATAATCTAGGCTTAAAGGAATTTGATTGCTGAATTGCCAATGTAGGGTAGCTTTATTTGTACTTTTTTATTTCAATGTGGTTACACTAACTTGGTGTCCAAATGAATGCCTAGATAGGTAATATAATTATCGCAGAGGTGCTTCTATTGAGGGCTATGATAATATGGTGACATTTTTTTTTGCTTTATTTGTAATACAACAATGCGGTTTTTGCGAAGAAATAAAATTGTTACTTCATCGGCAAATGTAGAAGTTACTGCGCAATAATTTTTGAGAAATAAAGAATTCTGAGAGGAATATCAGAAAAAAGCAGAACGTATAGAAAGGAACTGAAAGCGCTACTTTGGGGGTGCATTCATCCAGTAATTATGTGTATTAGTAATAGATAATAGATAACGGAAATATATAAAATATATAATATATGATAATAGATGATAGTAGATATTATCTTGTAGATAATATATAATAAAATAAATATATAATTTGTATTTTTTATCTTAAAGTAACTGTTTTGAAGATAGAGTCCTAACACTTGAATAATGTGTATATTTAAGTACTGATTTAAAATTTTGTCTTATCCTATTTGTATTTTAGAAATAATCTACTAAGATTGCTATTTCTTTAAGTTTGTTTTATAAACATTTGCAATTAATTTTTAATAAAAAATTAAAACATTTTATAGTATACTCAGTTCATTAAAATAGCTTAATACATATATAATGTACATATATATAAAAATATCGATTTTATAAATTATTTGAAATTAAGTTGGATTTAATTAACATATTTCTATATGCAATCGTATAATAATATATTAAATTAATTATCATTATATATGACATTCACACATCATATTTAATTTTAAATGAAAAACAATATTTTATTATGTTTTAATTAATCATATCATCAACCCATCTTTGGTTCACCTCATTGTTTCGAAAATGTGAACCAAATAATTTTTTTCACACGATTTAAGATATAAAAAATATATTTTTTAATTAACCATTAAAAATGAAACAGAAACAGAAACAGAAACACCGCACAAAATACGGTTTCGTGTGCCACAAAGGAAAGCTTAATGATGAACTGCATGGATACGAATCAAATTACTGAATGAAATAAAATTTTGTATCAAACTTTTGTAATGAAATTGAAAACAACTTTGCTATAAAATTGCATTTAATGAATGCTGATGGCCGGCTCTGTAAATGTATCTGCGTTTAACAAGTACGATAATTGCGCACTTGACCAAAATCTTTTGCAGACATCAAATTTGAAATATGAACAGATTTCAATACATTAATTATTTTTTTTATTTATTTATTTTATACGCTTTTATGCTATTTTGCAATATTCACCAACAAAACCTTTTAATTGTGCGAGTACTAAGTTTTATTGATTGCCAACTAAAATTTTAGCTTCGGGTTCCACGCCACTTTGATAGAAAATTTAACCTTCAACTGCAATCTCAGTTTTGTTGGATCTTGTCATCAATTTTCAATTTAAATTAAAAGTTTGTGTTTGCTCTTTTTGTGAAAAAAAACGTTACTTTTTCAGTGTTTTGTATCTTTGTTATCATTTTTAAGCGGATGATTTATGACGTAATAGTTTCACATTTCCCACTAAAGTAATTTTTCTGCTGATATGAAATAAGACTCAATTTTAGGCGCATTTATGTCGTTAATTATTTTGAAATGGTTTCTCGGAATGAGGCTCAGAGAGTAAGAGAAAAAAGTTGATATTAGTTCTGATTTAATGATATTAACAGTAATTATCTTTTATTTAAAAAATCAGAAAAAGAACAATATAATAAAAGAGTAACTAAATTTAACATATAATATATTTTGCAAAACATAAAACTATTTTTATTTTATGAGTTTTAACCATATGTTATTTAAATTAGGTTAAAAAAATATTAGTTATGAAATTTTCATCTTCTTTCATCTTCAGTAGTATATATATTCTTTAACATTTCTTTCTATAGTCAATAAGTTTTCTTGAAGTGCAAAATGGTTTGATGTTTAAATCTGCCTTAGCTATGGTTAATGTATATGACCCCATAATCTCCGATTTGGAGAAAAAAAACATTATAAAAATTTCAAAAATTATGTCATCCTGAAAATGTTTATTTTTTAGTAAAATTTAGTACTGAATATAAATAAAATATAAACAATAAAAATTCTCGGAATATATTTGGAAAAAAAAATTTTTTTTTTGAAATTCAGCAGTTAATATTAGTACTTAAATATAAATAATAATATAAATTATTTAAACTATTTCTTCAATTTAAATTTTCTATTATTTATATAGCTAGAGTTATGGCTGTTTAAAAATGTGCCAATTTCTAAAATGCCAATTCTCAAAAACCCAATGGTCCATATCTCCCAGGAAAAAAATGTCAAAATTTTTTCCCGAGCCACCAAGAAAGCTCATAAAAAAAATTTTAAACTAATCGGAGGTGATGAGGTCATTTTCCGACTAACAATAACTTATATTTTATATTCGTTAAATTGAAAGATTCAGTGGAATGGTAAGAAAGAATTAAAAGAATTGGTTTTTTGTTTAAAAAAATAGATAGTATTCTGGAGACAAAAGTGTAGACTGTGTTTCTGAGATATTAAGATTTGAAATATCTTAAACTATGAACAACTAAAGTTTGCAATATTCAAATCCAAAACACCAACGATATGGCAGTGAGTATCATTTATTTTTCTATTTTACTTAGAACTTAAACGCTTCCCTGAAACTTCTCATGAGTTCTTTCATTTTGGTGTTTATTATTGAGTGGAAACGAAAAATTTTCAAACATTAATACCATCACTATTCCTCAGCGATTATAATACATCTCGTCACTCGTAGCATTTTTTTAAAATATGTTTTAAAATTACTCTTTTCTGAAAATTTGATAACTTTTCTCCTGAATATTGAGAGTTATAACGTCTCTCTTTGCTAAACTTTGGAAGAAAACTTATTCGGAAGATAGAGATAGTAGATGAGACAGTCTAAAAAGACTCCTACATGAATATACATGAATATACATGACTCCTATACTCCTACATGAATAAATCAAATCGATATATGATATTATTACAAACCTCGATGTTCGATTGTGTAGGACCAGTAATGAATTCACAATTGCGATGATAAATGACATGATATAATTGAAAAGACTATGACGTCGATAGGAATTTATGACCTAGATACATATTGTTAAGCAGAGTCTACATTTGTATACTTACTACATTCATATAAGCTAGTATTAAAAAAGAGGTTGTAACAGAAGCTTAATAATGTATTGAAACAATTAGGTAGGACGTCTATGTATGTTATTAATAATCAATAATCTTTACTCAATTCATAACCAAAAATATTTTATTACAATTAGAAATTTGTTTTTAAAAGGTATGAATATGTTTTTTATTTTATGTTAACATCTTTTGTTAAAACCCAAACCGATAATAAACAAATTATGCTAGATTTTGAATAATTAATTAAGAGGTGATTAAAAATGTTATTTATATAGTTGTATAGTTGTTATATATATGTAATAGTGTATAAGAAGAGGTAGTATTAGTTTTTCACATCGGATTTTGTGCTGACTATCCTTTTTTATTTTCTCATGAGAAAAAATTAATCCTTCAATAATATTTAGACAAACTAAAATACTACTATTTGATACCAAGAATTGTACTAATATTTAACTTTCTTATATGTAAAATATAATGTTTTAAAATTCAAAATTTAATCCGAGTATATATATCATACTCGGATTAGCATTTAATAATAATTACGACTCTCTAATGAATTATAAACCACAAAACTATCATCTGTATGTTAAAGGGTACTATCTATACAAGTGTCTAGTAGATTCAAACTGTTGTTTTAACTGTTTAAAGTATATCAGATTGCAGTGACCATTCATTACTTGTTTAACTCTTGCATTCTCAATACCTTTACCAAATATTTATATAAATTTTGAAAGATATTAGTTAATATTTAAACCGATTACGATATTACCTGCATTATTCTGCTACTCTCTTTATGAAATAATTTGCACTGCTGAGACCTTTGTTTATTTATTTATACTTTAAACAAATATTTTAATATATCTGCAAACAATGATTTCAAAATCGAGAATTGCTGATTCATGGCAAATTTTATTTTATGTTCACAAATCTAAATCATTTTAGTATTGCATTTTAACGAAAATGTGTATAAAAATTTTATTAATCTTAACCATCGCGCATAGTTGTTTTAGTTGCGAAATAAAAAAATCACTGAACTACAATTCAATACCATTTATAGTAAAAGTAATAAATTCCATTGGTGCTCATTATAATTTAAGTTCTTTTAGCTTAATCTATAACAGCAATACGATAAACAATGCGATACTAAATGAATTCTTTAATGTGCTTCAAAATACTAATCAGAGTTATTTCGCGGAGCGAACTCAGTTGATTGGGAACGCCAACAGCCATTTGAAGTTGGCAAACATATTTGATCACAACTTGCTTATCATCACTCAATCCAACAACATTACTGATGACACACTAAATATCTCAACTACGATAGCACGTGGACGCCGAAATTGCTATTCTGTATTTCTTATCACTCACGTGTGTAATGAAGCTGATCTCAAGCAGTTTTTTGAATATCTCTGGGTCAAGCAATTTCGAAGGCCTCTACTTATAACAAATGACAACGAATTGTATACAATGGAACCCTATCCTGAAATAAAAGTCAAAAATGTTACTACGGCGAATATAAGCGAATACTTTCCTAAAGCCTATAGTAATTTTTTGGGATACCGTTTACGTTTGCCGGTACAGGTGGATATACCGCAAACGTTTTTAAGTACAAGATTAAAAGATGGTCTTATATACTTAGATGGTGTTGGTGGAATAATTTTTCGAAAATTCATGCAGCACATCAATGTTTCGCTAGAAGTATATAGTTTGATGGAGAAGAATGGCAGTAACTATATGAATATGTCACACATTTTAGATATGCTAATACGGAACTGCATTGAAATAAGTGCGCAGCAGTATACAACTTTAAAACCAGTGGATGTTGATTACAGTTACCCATATGTAATAACACAACGTTGTCTTATGGTACCATTAAACAGTGCAATTCCACGAAATCTCTATCTTTTGCTGCCGTTCCGTTGGTATATTTGGTTATTTCTAATAACTTTTATGATTACAGCCGATTTGTTACTAAGAATATTTCATAAGTGTAATCAACGTCGTGGTTGGAGAACAAGTAGAGCATTAGGTGAATTTCTTAAACAAGGTGGTGTCTTCTATTTCATGCTTCTTTTAATGCTGGCGATACCAATACAATCATTAAAGCTATTTAGACCACGTCTGGCCACATCATTTTTGTTTTTTCGTAAGTTATTATGGAGTTATGGCATAATATTCACATTTTTCTACATTTCACAACTATACTCCAATATGCTTACAACGTTATTAACAATCACGCTGTTTAATACACCCGAAATGAAAGAAACCGATATTATTAATGCGAAACGTCCAATAATGATTTTAAAGCAGGAGGAGGAATCTATTTTCCATAACCTGAAGTCCGTAGAAAAATTAAAAAAACTTATAGTTTACGGAGATATTGCTGAATATCATTATAACCGCAATACATTCAACAGATCTTATATATATCCTATTAGCAGTGAGCGTTGGGACTTCCTTAGCATGCAACAACGTTTTCTCGATAATAAAAAATTTTGGTACTCTAGTGTTTGTTTCGGATCATTTCCATTGCAATACCAAATGCGAGCCGATTCACATTTTGAAGAACCATTGAAGAACTTTATTTTTATTTCATATGAAAGTGGTTTATACTATTATTGGATATCAAACTGTTATCAGCGTGCTAAGAAATTGGGATATTTGCATGATTTTAAGAATAATTATGATGAGTTTAATACTAGTGCTGTAACGGAAACTGGATTATCACTTAAGTCGCTTTCACCTTTAATATATCTTTATATTATTGGCATAATTTTGAGTTTTTTAGTGTTTCTTTTTGAAGTGAAATTTGTAAACTTAAGAAAATTACGAAAATTTTATAAGAAACTTAGGCAGTGAATGGAAAAAAACGTTCAACCTTTAGTATAGTTTTAATTTAAATGATTTATTATATGCCTTCACATCTATACAGTTGTTACTTAAGCCAATGTAGGTGGATTTTCTGGTTGTTTCCAAACCCAGTTATCCCAGGGAATGCACTCCTTCAACAAATGCATGTAAGCCAATCCGTGAGGACATTGCATTTCTGTTGCTGGTACATCAAGTGTTTCGCAGTACCAATATTTAGCGTGATCGAAATGATGTGGATAGGTCTCTCCTACCTCGATGGGATCACGACAACCGGATCGTCCATCAGTAGCGGAGACAGTTACAAAAACAACCGTAGCGAGTACGACAAAGCAAAGGACTATAAGCAAAATTTATATGCACTTCATTATTGATAGCAGAATTTGTTATTTTGCAATTACTTACAGAATTTCATTTTTGTAGCACAAAATTTGCAAGAACCTGATATGACAATACTAACATATCATCAAATTATATTGACTTTTTATACTAAATAATACACAAATCAATGTACAAATACGAAAAAAAAATATTTGCAAATTTTTAGTTAACACAACACAAATTAAATAAACTTGTTGAGATACTTATCAATTATTAACATTTATGTAGATTGTTTTTCTTCGAAAAAAATGTTTAAATATTATTTTTAAGTATATCAAAAAAGAACAATTCCATTGATATTACTCACAAGTGTGATAATATCAGAACTGATAAACTTAACGTTATCATCTGTACCATTCAATGTCACTTAGTTATGATCCAGTGCATATACAAATGCAGTTCCTTGGTTCAACTACCGATTCGTGATATGTTATAAATATAACTAATGGGTTAAATTGTTTCTCCTACTTCTTAGGTAAACAGTGTATATTTTATTAAAATATATTAATATCCAATTATAATAAATATTTAAGCACAAAGAATTATGAGGGATAATTATATGGCAATGATTTGATCATCGATATTCATAGATTTTTCTTTTTAGAAATAATAACATAATTAACAGCGACCTGAAAAAGTCTTCAGCACTTTGTAAGTTTCATAATCGAATATGTTATTAAGCCTGAAGCTCACTGTGATATCATATTTAGAATAAAAATTGACAAATTTTTATTTAATTTAAACTGATTAATTCATTAAGTAATTAAGTTAGGACCCACAATCTGTATAGTTATGGAGAAGTTTAACACATTTATGCAATGTGAATTAAAAAGGATATTTCTTATTTGTATGAAATATTCACAAAAAATTAAGAACAATATGTCTAAAAGCTAAATAAGTTCGAATGAAGCCACTAAAAATAGTGTAGAAAAATGAGATAACGAGAACCTTCTGAGTATAAACACTGCTATTCTTCAAACACCATAAGTTGAATAGCAATACTTAAATACTATAACTGTAAATTTAGAATACAGAATTCTGAATTCAGAGTGGGCTAGAAATTTTCGGACTAAGTTACAAAACAATATTTTTTTGAATAAATTTGGTTTTATTCACGAACATAATCTTCTTCAAGAGTAATACAATCATTCCAGCACTTCTATAACATTTCGACACCTCTCTTGTAAACTTTAAAAATTTTTCTTAACCTTAAAACACACATATATTTTGGCAATGACATGGAACATTTTTTTAATATTTGCGATCAAATGCTAGTCTCTGACTAGCATGAGTCAGAGACTATGCTAAATCTAAATCTAATGAGTACAGTGGATGTGGGAGGATTTCGGTTATAAAATATAATTAATTAATATATCCCAATTATATAGTTTGATACTACTAACTCAAAGTGATGAAGATGACATCAATAGGCATATAATACATTATATACTTTTAACTTGTAAGATCAAAGGTATAGGTATAACGAATTCCATGTATCTGTCTGTCAATATGTTGTTACGCACACATAGTTTCCCATTTTCTTGTTAATCCAGGTAAATCAAATCGATGTATAGAATATTGTATAAGAAAAATACTGCAAAACATAACAAGAAATGTCGATGATGATTTCTTTAGAATGTTTGGCTGCCTATTTACTTGTGTAACTGGTAATAAGCAAGCAGAAACGCCCAAGTCGCGTATGGAACATTCAGATTCAGATTTCGAGTAAATCAGGTCGATATATATACAGGATTTGGGTCAATACAAAATAATATGCGTAATCAATTTTAATTATAAAAACTTGTAAATAAATAAAATAAAAATGGATTTTTAAATAACAATGATAATAAAAATTGGCAACTCTTAACTTTTATATTAAAGAGTACTTAGGTAATATACAAAATTTACATGACGTATATCAATCAATATGTAATCTTTATACTTTATATTATTTCTAGTTTTCATTTTAATAATAAATTTTTGTGTAGTAAAGTAGCAATAAATTGCTTTTCACTAGGACTTGTAATGTATATAGAAAACAGTTTTAAATAATATTATTATATGATTTTAATACAATAATAATATATGATTACGAAAGTGGTTTCGAAAAATAGTAAACTACACAACAAAAATTTATTTTATATTATTTTAATTAATTGAATTTTTAGCTGTCCATACAACTATTTCGAATATTGCCAAATACCTATCATCAGTGGTCTTGAAAATATTTTTTATATTTAATTATTCGTAAGAAATTGTTGAAACTGCAAGCAGCAGGAATTTAACTCGTGCCCTGCCAAATTTGAAGTTTAGAGTCAGCGCTTCTTAACTTACTGATCCAAAGCCGTACTTGGATGACTTTTATATTCGCACATTTTTCTGGAGTTTTGTTCATTTGCTGTGAAAGTTTATTCACTTGCTGTGTTTATATTAAAACGAAATCATAAACCAGCTGTGGAATAATTTAATCAATTAATTATATTTATTTATAATTGTTATAATTCAATATTATTCTGTTTGTAGAACCATTATTTGTTGCATGCTTCTATAATAATATATAATAATAATGTATAATATTTTAAAGGATTTAATTAATATATAATTTATTTTTGTTTTTATAAAATAATGAAAAATTTTATCAATGCGCTACGCAATGACCCCATAATGTGATACTATAATTGATCACATTTAGATAGCTATATATATACTATATCTATATTTGTGGTTTTTGTAACTTCAACTATCTTAAGAAATATTTCAAAATAGAATTAGTTAATTTAAATGATATGAAATGTATTGTCCGCGGGCATATTTAGGTGCAATTTAATTTAAGTTACTAGGCATATTGCAGATGCGAAATTTGAAAGAAATTTTGACATTGGCATAAATAAATATTTTTTTTTCCCTTTAATTCAATTCATCAAATTTTTTGTTTTTGTTAATGACTATGAATGGAATGGAATATTTATAAGATGCAAAGATTGCATAATGAATTGTGTGAATTGTTAAGTTGACACTTAATTTAACTTTAATTGTTTTTTAATAGAAAGAGTTGAAATTTAATGCTTTGCATAATAAAAACCACCAAATTTAAGTTAACAAACATTTTAAAGTATTTTAAAAGTATTTCTTTTTAACGCCTGCGAGAAAAATTCGGCTTAAATATAAAAAATAAGAAAAAAGCTGTGCAAAATTATTCAAAATTTAACAGTTTTTTGTTCGTGGCAAAGCTCAAGGCGTACAAAATGTTAACGTGAGTTTTAACGCCACTTGACCAATATAATCCAAATTTTTGCTATTTTTTTCTTTTTTTAAATAATAAACATCTTTTTGTACAATATACAATATACAAAACCTATACACAGAAAAGTTTTGAATATCATTTATTTTCCAAAAAAAAACTTTTTAAACGATTTTTTATTATATTACAAAAGTGTTAACAGTATTGGTAAGACTCATCTGGCAGTGTCTTAAATTGGCCTAAGCCAACGAAGTATTTCAAATCATTAATAACTCTTTTTCAACGACAGCTATTAAAGTTTTATAATAGAAGTGGCAGTATATGCTAAAAATAAATATTTTTGTTTAAATATATACAAAAGTTGTTAATTAATTTCGCATTATTAAATAACAATAAATAAAATTATTATTGGTCAAAGTTTTAAAAAAATTGAAAACTTTTTAATTAAGTTTTTATTAAATTAATAAAAAATTTGAAACAAGTTAAGTGCTTTCACTTGTTTGTTAAAATTGTTCTAAAATTGTTTGCTGATAAGAACTGAAATATCTTTAATATAAATAACACTGAAAACAATGAAACTCACAACACATCTTTGTGATTTTTTTGGTAAAATACTGGAACAGTTGCCAATATGCAAAAAGGTTTTTATATTACTTCCCAATATAGTTCTACATAACCTGTATAAATATTATATATTTTTATTTATTTACAGTATCACTTATTGCAATCTTGCTTGTGGCATGCATTGCCTTTGCTGCTGCTGGTAAAGCACGTTATCATGGTCAGGACATCTATGCCGAACCAGACTGCTCTATTGTGAGCGACTATTCACGTATGTTCCGCGATATCTCAGATCCAACACACTACTGGATTTGCCCAGAAGGACAAGAGAAGGCTGATTACATACAATGCCCACCAAATTATGCTTTCATGGAGAAAGAACAAATGTGTGTAGTCTGGGAGAGTTGGCATTGGGTTGAACCTTACACAAAATAAATTCTGTTCTAACAAAATGTCAATTAGATTGAATTGATTGATGTATAAGAAATGCAATAAACCTTATCAAAATAAATAATGGCAAAAAAAAAAAATTAAAACACAAACATTCCTTCATGGTTTTGAGTACACCTTATCTTATTTTTAATTTATTTTTGATTAAAATTGATAGACACATCAAATGATGGCACAAAAAAGGTCAGAAGCGCTTGACACTTGAGTTTTGACAACAAAAATGCTATTTAATTCGGAAAAATGGAAAGGGCACGTTCAACATTTCTAGTGACTAGATGTATATATACATCAATAAATTGATATTGGAAAGTAAATCAAGAGAAATTACATCAAAGTAGATTTATGTAAATAATTAATATGATACCTTAATTTCATGTCTATAGTCAGTGTGATTGATTGTCAGTTCAGTGTACATTATTGATAAAAATGTTCAATTCTGATGTTAACTAAGTTTGTATGAAATACATTATATTAATTAATTTTCTTTCTTTTGAAAATTGTTAATTTTAATCATCAAAGATTTATCTTAATAGGTTAAAATAGTAACAATATACTTGTAAAACTGCATTTCAATCGATGATAGAATACTTAATAATAAATTTGTTAAATAATTAATTTTATAGATATGCTTTAAAATATTTTATTTTAACTATTCAAACATTTAATGACATTTATTTTTAATTTATACCCTTCCATTAAGAATTTCTTTCAATTTATCAACAACATTATATGGATTGACATTTTTATTTAATTACCATCGAAAGACCTATATATAGTATTTCGGCTGCAGGTCTCATACTTATAGAATTTATCTTGCAAAAATAATATTTCATTTGTAAATTTCTGGATATACGCTTTTTTGATAAAATTATCTTTTGAAAAAAATAACTTTTTTAAAAGTTAGAAGTAGTCGAATAGTAAAGAAAAGACAAGAACAAATATTTTTTAATTTGGCTCACCATACAATTCTTTTTCGAGTACTGTCACGTACTCATCATCAGTGGTCTTAGGACATATTTGAATTTCTTTGTAATTAGTTTATAGTCCGTATATAATTTGTTTGGACTGCAAGTACCAGGCTTAGAACTCAAGCCTGTCAAATTAAAAGCAATGACTAATCGTGGATTTCCACAAGTAACCAAGGCTGCACAATCTTTTAATACTCAAATTCCAGGTTTTTAATTGTCCCTTATTTATTTTTTAGTATTACTTATTTTTAAGTGATACTAACCAAAGCAGTTGCCGTGTTTTAAATTAGAGTGCGCTTATAAACTACAGCTTTATTTGGGAACACAAGTTCAACGAATTGAACTTTTCTTTGCTTTTCGACTGCTTCCAACTTTTAAATAGTTTCTTTTCGTCATTAAAATGCATCACTCTAGGCTCCTCAAATCTAAATACGTGTTCTCGATCTGGAGTAACGAACTTGTTAATCATGTAATATAGTAAGATTGCAATAAATACAATACCAGTGAATATAATTTATTGTTAAAGCTATGTAGTGTTACTTTGTTATTATGTTATCAAGTTCATTATTCAAGATCATGAATGTCACATACTTTTATATCATAAATAGCAAAAAGTTCTGTTATTCTCAATTTTATGTTGCTTAAGCTTAATGTCATTGATTATCCTTTATATATTCTAAAATGTAATCAGAACTTCATACAACATATGCATACATTCAATTTTTTTTTTTAATTTTCCGTAGTATTTTAAGATTTAATAGCGAATACATACATAGCCGATATAATGCAAACACAATATTAATATCTGTGGAGAATGACTTTAGTTAAAAATTTCAAAGTTATATTTTTCAAGTATTTCATATGCTTTTATATATCTTAACTATTTGATTCAACAACTCAAGACTCAGCACTTCTTAGACTGAGTAGTCTTAAAAAACAAGGGAGACCCTGATGATGACTCTCAAGAGGAGTAGAAAAATAGAGTATAATAAAAAATATTAAACGTTGAATTATTTAACAAAAATACGGACTTAGAGCCGAATCAAAAAGTATATTTGATCATTATAAAAAAACAGGTCGATAAGTAAATTTAAAAAAATTTTATTTTTAAATACATATAGCCATTTTTTAATGTTATGATACTTTAACCCATTTCAGCAATTCTTATAACTATGTATGTATATAAATCGCATAAAACCATTTAAACACATTATTACTCTTCATAAAATATGATCCTATCTTAATACTCTAGAGCTATATCTCATCGCGAAAAATTCTTAAAATTTATGAGCACTACTTAAAGTTATTTAACGTTAAGACACATTTCGATTTAAGCAATAATTTTTTATTTCATTTTGAATTAAAAACTACTTGACTGATGACCTTCTTCCACACACATGAACTATTAGAAATGTCATTTATTATTTAACTAAAGGATTTATTGCCTATCCAAAATATCATCAAACAAATCACAAAATTATATTTTCAGATTAAATGGGTTTGGTAAGAGTTTCATAGAAAATTCATCAATTGAAGTGAAAATATTGCACATTTTTATAAGATTTATGGTGCACAAAAGCTGTTAGAAGTTTTTTCATAATTTAAAGTAGATTGGATTTGGTGAAGATATTTATGCTTTTCTTCACTTGATTTCTTGAAATGCAGCAATTCAAGTACTGCGCCCACAAATAAATTGGAAGTGAAATTTTGTGCTCTTCACTGAAAATGAAATGGAACAAATTCAATAGGAAAAAAAAAACTAAATTGACTGAAAAACATTTGTTATATGAGTGTTACGTGATGAGTACCTCAAGTTTATAATATGTTTATGTCGAGCACATTTGAGAGGTACTCTCATTGCTTTAAGATACAAAAAAAAACAAAAATCAGAAATTCGGTAACTTTTATCAAAAGTAAATTACCAAAAAGATTTATTGTGTTAAACAATTTTTATGTGAACTTTTATTTGAAGTATATATGTGTTTAATAAAAATTACATAAAAAATTAAAACTCATAAATAAAACTTACTTTATAACTACATAAAAATTAAATACTGTATATATACATTGTTGAAGGTAGTTGAAATTTTAAGAATAGTATTACAGATATATGCAACAACTGCTAAAAAACAATACTTATATCACTTAAGATTCAGTTTACGTCATCCTTACACTACTCACTTGGGTATAAAGTGTTAATAATATTAAGTTATTGTCTAATAAATACATTAAAGGCGCCATGATTCACATGTTTAGATACTTCAAATGTCATTAAGTTACTTACAAATTATTGAGTTTTGTAAAAACTCTTCGATATGTAAATTTCGATGGTCATGTAAATTTGTAAAGTAATTTGTAAAGTATTATATTTCAAATACTTTGAGGATTTATTGACTCACTGTTTACATATTAATATTAACAAATTAAATATTTTGACAATGAACTTATTATTTATTAGAGTTATTGATAGATACTTTTAAAATCGTGAAGTGTTTTTTCACAAAAATTAAAAAAAATAATTGTTTTATTTTAATTAAGTGTAATACACAGTGTATTATAAACTCATGATTCACTTATATTAAAATGTGAATTTTTATACAAAAATATGAGTCAAGTTTATAATCTTGAGCTATTAAATATTTAAACACATATTATTAGAATTTTTTTAAATTATTATTAATTACCTTTATTAAAATTATAGATTAATGTTGTTACATTATTTCTGATACCCAGTGCTATAGTGAACTTGACACATATGAGAATTGATGAAATTGTCATATTGAAGTTAATTTTAAAAAGTTAACAACTTTTTTCACGAATATTGATATTAGAAAAGGAATAATAAAAAACAAAGAATAAGAATGAAGAAAGTTAAAAGAATAAAATATTCAACTACTGTAATGAAAGTCTAATATAAATTATATGTTTAAAGGTCAAATATTCCTTTTAGTCAGCGTATTTCTTTTAATATTCACTGTAGAAATTGTGGAAACTTATAGGAAAATATAAAAAATAAGTATTTTCTCTGAGACTGTCTACCTTTGGCAGACAGTCTTTCTTCAAAACAATCAGGTTTTGAGGGAAGTATTTTTTCTGATAGCTTATCAGGCTGTTCAGCGGTAAGAACAGAGCGAAAGAAGATTATTCCTATTACTTTTTATTACAACTAACCAACCAGAGAATTTTAGAATATGAGTAAATCACATTTTTTATTTTTGATTATCGTGATTTTAAGAGTATTTGATAACGCATTATTGAAAACAAAAAAATCGAATTTCGAAACCTTATATTTTAAACACTAACCTTTATCGAAATTTATCAACGTTTTTAAAAAAGTTGTTCAGAATAGCTGACTTTATATAAATCCGTTATCAAATGGGCATACCCGCATAATAGGAACATACTAAATAGGTATGTTTCTAATTATATATTTCTAATTATATAAAATTTTTCATGGACCATAAATCTATTTGGAGTATTGCCAATATTATATATTATATTATAATATTATAATATCTATATATATTTAATCATGAATAATTTTTTGGTGTACAAGTACCAAGGGTTAAACTTATATCCTGTCAAACTTTGAAGCTCAGTATCAGCATTTATTAGCCAACACATCCAGAACCGTACTAGACTGCTGTTGTACTAACTTGGAGTTTGTCAATATGTTTTTTAATTTTTTTTTATTGTGTATTTTTGGGTGAAGTTGCTTTTGGCACTCTGTATCTCAATCTGTAAATATTGAAACCTCCTTACTTATAAATTTTTCGTTTCTCGGATCAGGAATCACCTTACAATATTTAAACATTACACTGTAAAAGATATTGCTCGCATAAAGCATAAGTAGAAATTAAATAAAAAGAGAATTACTTAAATTTAGAATGTCAATTTTTCAATTTATAATATTAATTCAATGGATTTAGTGTACATTAAATTTGTTTATTATATAAAATGTAAATACGGTATTAAAATAAGTGTACCGTATCAGCAGAAGCATATTGTGATTTAATTCACTTTATTTTTACTGCCCGAAAGCATAAATAAAAACATTATTGTTATTTTATTCGTTTTAGATATAAATTTATATACTTTATTCAGAGCATGACATCTGCATATCTT